AGACGCAGTCGAGTCCAGTCGAGAGTCCGAGAGAGTCCAGGGGCGAGCCTTGAGGCAGTCCAGTCTTGGGCGAGTCTTGGGTCAGCCTTGCGAGAGTCTTGGGGATTTTTTCCCCAGGGCGCTGTGTCTGATAGAGTGCTCGATTGACCGACTAAGACGAGAGCTGAAACGTATTTCGTTGTGTGTGCCTTATTTGACTGTAAAGTTAAAGTGACTTTCCCGATCCCGTACCTCAAGGGGACGAGATAGAGAGACGAGACGAGATTCCCCCCGACAGAGTGGAGAACCCCGGGGAGAAGATTTCCCCCCTGATAGTTGTGTCTATTTTAATGAGATTCACGTTGTCATTGCTATTAAACTGGTAGATAAAGAATCAGTCATCGTCATTTTAAATAAGAGTCACTACACCACTAAAGTAAATAAAATGTTGGGAAATGCAGAACATTACTCAAAGGCTGCAACATTACTGATAATACTGATAACTACATGATAATCCGAATCCACAATCCAGATGTACCCTTAGGACCTACTGGGTTCACTATCAATCATTCTACACATTTATGAATACGTTGACTATCATTTACAGTGGTTACACTGAATTACTGCCGTATTAGTACACAAGGCAGATTCTATGGAGTCCGCTCCTTATATTCAATCCACCACTGTCTGATGGTGCAAACTTCTCGTGCTTAGTCGACTAAGGTTTGTTATGTTGTTTCATTTCTCTTTTATAAATTACTATTACTACATGTCCATCCTAGGTTTGTTCTTGGTATTGTATCTTTTTTTTTAATTTTCATTACCAGATTTTGTATCGGGTGTATCTTCTTGAGACGTGCAAACGTACTGATTCATTTTTTCTTATATTTTACCAAAAGCATTTAAAACAATTGAAAGGAATAGTGTGACGTTTTTTTCACGACTACGAATGATCACGAATGCTTTGAATTACAATTTGTTAAGTCATTCATAACATATAAAGCTCATGCCCAGCAGTAAATAAAATATTTAATACAAGCTTGTTGTTGCGTCGATGCTATGGGAAACTAGACACACACACTAAATTAAAACTATGTAAATCTGCAGTCTAAAAAAACTCAGTGTCATAAGTAAATGTCAGTGTCAGTGACTAGATTGAAGCAAACTATGCCAATGAATTTCTTACACAAGGACATTATGAAAAACAACAAGCCCTTAACAATCTATTTCTTACACAGCTCACACAACAAACACATGTCTAATTGGGAAAATGATTATATCTGAAGTATTACCTCTTCTACAATTTCATATATACTCCTCAGTCAGTTAGCCGAGGTTGTAACGTTTAGTTGCCGATCCCACTATTTCATGTTCGTGTAAATTAGAATGTAGTATTTGAAGACCTCTCTGACACAAATGAGGAACTTGTGTGTATAACATATCCTGTAAGCGATTTTGAACATTATGCTTTGAGCTGTCTAAATGGGGCATTGTTGTGCACGATTTTTTCCTGACTATGACTGGTTAACAATTGGTTAAACGCCCATTACTATATCTGAAGTACTAACTCTTATACAATTTCATAATCCTTTTTGCTATGAAATGTTACAACATTTTCAATTTCATATCCATTACGCTTAAAATTTGCCCAGTATCTTTACCAACTCACTATGGTCGTTAAAAGTATACTTCAAATTGCAAGTATGTTTAAAGTATACTTAATTGATACTTCCAATTTTCCTGGCTCAAACAATAGAATTACTGAATACTTGGCTGTATATCGATGTCTGGGAAGTTTATAAATTCGGCTTACGCGTGTTCATCTAGTCACTGTGAGGGTGTGTTCATGGTGATGTTGTTTTGGGGGCCAACATTTTTGGGTCGGTGACTATGGTGCTCGTTTGCTCAAAGTTACACGACGCTATTCCGTGCTCTTGCGTTCGAATCTCGTTGAGTGCATTAAAGCGCGGTGGTTGTCGCGCAGCGCATGTTCGAATTTCATGTAAATAAACAATGTATTTTACACGCGTTGTATACGTCGCTATGAGTCCCATATCGAACAGGACGCGGCGCGACGACTACCGCCCTTTAATATGTGTTTGTAATCTGCTTAAGTTTACATTTTTAAGTATATTTAATTTGAACTCTTGAATCAAGTATATTTGTTTGATACTTATTTCAAGTATTTTTTTATACTTGAATATACAAACAAATGTTATCTGGCATATAGCATCTGTGTTACTGATACATCACATGTCATATCACCCACCATATTGAAAAGTCAGCATTTATTTAATGCAGTTCACTCATCAACACTGAAAGTCATTCAATATAATCTTCGGCAGTTATCTAAAGACATGTTGATAAATCCTAGAAAAATAGAATTTAAATAATGTTTAGGTATCAATTTTGCTATGATTTTTCAAATATTTAAATAATTAAATAATATCCCCCTATTCATCCTGATTTCTATATGATG